CCTGTTTACAATTTCATATTATCTTTTCTCATAAAACAAATTTTCTCTTGTAATTACTAGACTGGAGTATAACACCTTTGTATCTTTTTTCAAATCTTGTTTAAAAATTTAAGTTACACCTTTACAGTTATAACATTCATTTTCTAACCTCTATTTTATAACAGATACCTATTTTCAGTCGAATTCTGCTTGGTACATTCCCTTAAAAATACACATTAAATTCTTAAAGGAAAAAAAGTATATATGTATATATATCTGTTTTCTTAAGTTTTCGCGGGTACTTACATGTATGGTATTCAGCTTTGTTCGGGTATTTTCCCACGTCATTATAATTGTGCTTTTAAAGTTGTAGCAACGTTTCAGCAGAATCTCATCTGCCATCATCTGGCTTCTGTATTGTGTTTGTCTGTGTTCGTCAGACGAACACAATACAGAAGCCTGATGATGGCAGATGAGATTCTGCCGAAATGTTGCTACAACTTTAAAAGCACAACTATAATGACGTGGGAAAATACCCGAACAAAGTTGAATACCATACACGTATATATATCTGTGTATATATGTATAGCAATAGTAAATGGAATAATAATTCTATTCAAGTACTGCTCTGCCATTAATATTAATAACAATCTTTTACATTTCTATTTCTTTTAACAAACATTACCTAGTAATATCAGTTGTCTTTCACTTTAAACATCTATATTTCATATTTTACTTATTACTGTCTTTAAATAAAAAACAAAGCAATAGTTATAAGTTAAAGTATATATTTTTGAGGGAAAATAGACTAGAAATGTAATAAATAAATAACGAATTCCTATATTAAAATTTGACCTAATTTATCTTTAGGTGAAAAAGAATTATGAAGCCCTCAAGCAAAGACAAGAGGAAGAGAAGATGGTGCAGAGTTATTCTTCAAAACTTGATGAAGAAAGTCAGCCTGTCACTAAATGGGAAAGAGATAATCAGGAAACTACTAGAGAACTTTTGAAGGTTAAAGATAGATTAATTGAAGTTGAAAGAAATGTAAGTATATCATTTGCTTTACTAGAAACTGTTAAACATTTCATGGTTTTTGTGGATTTTACATAGGTGATATGTTTGTACAGACTATATGTTAGAATCTTCTAGGACTGTGTGGGCTTTGTTTAATTTGTTTTTAGTTAGACACAGGCCTGTAGTGTGCATGGCCCAAGCATGGTTCCCGCCTGTTCTTCCACTTTCCTTTTGGCTACTGCATAAGCAGTATGCGTTTCTCTGAATTTTTTTGTCAAAATTCACCAGTCTTTCCTCTATGTTACAGCCTTTCGCATTTCTCGATTATTCTTTGTAAATTCTCAGATGCTATCCCAGCAGATTGGTCAATCAACAATTCTTTCCTTCCCTTCTTTTGTTAGTAGTAGCCATTTTATCATAGTTTATAGTCCAAAATGAAGAATCATAAAAAGAAGAAATTTATTTTTTCTTCCTTCCTCTGAATACTGCAGTCCACGCCCTTTCACAATCATCCTTCTTTGTCTTTAAAAGAGTCCATCAATCATTTTCCTAGGAGAACCCAAGCATACTTCTCCATGGAAGTATGTAGTATTTAATTAATTTAAAGGAACCTAGTGCTATGTAAACAAAGTCCATCAAAACACTTCTGATCTCGTCCATTTAAAACAAAAATAATCGCAACGTTTCCCCCAATTTTGCTTTATGCTGCAAATTAATTTTAAATTCTTACAGTTTCTACACACACACACACACACACACACACACACACACACACACGTTAGTTGCACCACTGGCCATACAAACGTTCACCGTGCGGTTCAATAAAAGTGCTTCAAAGATCACTTATAGCTTTTAAGAAATTATAGTCCAAAGTGCTTTAGAAAGTGGCATTTGGGCAGACTCAGTGTCAATTAAAGGCTCTACTGAGACTTCTTTCTATTCTCCCAACATTCTTTACTCATGAGGTGGCTGCAGAGTTTGTCTGGGTTCTACAAGCCTCCTAGTGAGAAGCAGCCTTATGGAGCATACGATTTCTTCATCTTGTTCTGATCCAGAGATGCTCTGCTGGCCAGAAAAATAGACTGCAAAACTGTTGCCAAGGCTGGAACAGGCTGGTTGCAGTTCCAGCCTTGGCAACATTTCTGCACTTTTTTCTTCTTCTAGAATAACAGAGTTGGAAGGGACCTTAGAGGTCTTCTAGTTTAAATCCTTGCTCAAGCAGGAGACCCTACACCATTTCAGGCAAATGGTTGCCCAATCTCTTCTTAAAAATCTCCAGTGTTGTAGCACTCACAACTTCTGGAGGCAAGTCATTCCACTAATAAATTGTTACAATTATCAAGAAATTTCTCCTTAGTTCTAGGTTGGTTCTCTCATTGATTAGTTTCCCTCCATTCAATTATGTCTGATTTTCAGAGACTTTCCGGACAAGTCCCTGCAATTTTCTGGCAAAGTTTTTCTGAAGTGGTTTGCCATTCCCTTCCTTCCTAAGATTAAGAAAAAGTGAATCACCCGGGGTTTCCGGTTTGTCGGCTTCGCGAGCGGTAGGGATTCGCGAAGCTGCGCGATCCCTGCCGCGCTAGCCGTTTTGGGGCTCCGACCCGGACGGGTGCGGAGCAAGGCTGCCCTGCAGGGGTAGCTGAAGGTAAGGGGGATCCGGAGGAAGGGTTTGGGGGTGTTGCAGACCCCCTCCCTGGCCGGCAGAACCCCCTTTTACCAGGACGGTGCAGCGGCGGTCCGTAATGGCCGCCACAAAGAAGTTGACAGCCGGGCAAGTATGCGCAGGAGGAAGAAGAGAAAGTTATTGAAAGTGAAAGTTCTTCTTGGTTGACCCAGGGCTTTGAGATTTATCTAATTTAATTCCTGGAAAAGATGGTTTTTTGATGATTTTTTCCACAAGAGAAAAAAAAAGCGGCTATTTTGAGGTGCTGAAGGGAAAGTTTACTCTCCCTCCCGACGGAATTAAGCCGGAAGGGAGAGGATAAAGAAAATATATAAATTTGGATCTTGTTGGAGGAGATGCCTTGAAGACTTGAGGACAGAAATATAATCTTAATAAGGCTTTAAAATATAGATTTGGACTCTTTTTTTTTTTTTGTTTGATACCACCCCTGGAAGAGGAAGGGGGAATTTTGGCTTGCTTGGATTTATTGAGGATTGTGGATTTTGGGATTGTTTTGCCTTTCTCTCGGAATATTTGGTTGGTGTAAGAAGGAAGAGGAATAAAGAAAAGAAAAGATTTATTTATAATGGCTTTCCTTTTTGAAGACCTGAGGGATGAATATGAGCAAACAAAAGCAGCCTGCAAAGATGGCATGGAAAAAGCTTTTCTATTTCTAGAAATGGCGCTGGTCAATTACCAACAGACAATGGAACAGATGGAAACGGAAGAAGAACAACAAGGAAGAGACGAAGACGCCATCTTCATTGAATCCCAAAACTTATCTAAGGAAGAAGGAAGGAAGAGAGCAAGGAAAATGAAGGACTTAAGATTTAAAAAAACATTTGAGAAAGAGAAAAATATGATGCAAAATAAATATAATGATAACAAACAAGAGAAAAAGGGAACACAACAGAGAAGGGATCCCAGCAAGGCAGAGGTTAGAAGAAGAAGGGGGGGTAGGAAGATTTGGTGGGGGAAGAAAGAAAGGGGAAAGGCGGAGAAAAGCCTCAAAGCTTTAAAATTGGATGGGAGAAGAGGGATTTTTTTTAGAGACAAAGGATGAAATATAAATTTCTGTAAGAAAGATTCTGCTAAGGTACAGAAGATGGTATTGTAACATTTATATTTGAAATAGTAAATTAGAATGGTTTAAGATTTAATAAGAAATTAAAATGTTGAAGTTTAAAATTGAAATGTTGAAGTTTTTAATAATGATTGATTTAATAATGATTGATTTTTGAAATGTAATAAAATATCGAAGGAAAGGAGGATACAATGTATTTAAACATTTTTGGTGGATAGATGTACCAAGCAGAACCAAATTGGGTATTTGTTATGTTGAATGTTAATTTTACTAACTTAGGGGGAGGATAGGAAGGCATCATACTCTGATTAGTGATTTCAGGAGAAATTCTTTTTATTATAAGAAGAGATAGAGGGATAATGAATGGGCAAAAGATACAAATTTAATGATTTAATTAAGATGGATTAAATAAGATAGAATTGTGAAGAGTGATATGCGCTATTATTTTAGCCCATGCAAAGAGAGGTAACTGGGGCCAAGGTACTTTACTAAAAGATTTTTTTATGTTTGTTTGTGTTTGTTTGTGTTTTATGAGAATATTGGGGAAATTATTGTAGAAAGACAGGGAAAGATTTAATATGTAATGATTTGTTTGTTGTTGAAACTTTTAATAAAACTTGTTTTAAAAAAAAAAAGAAAAAGTGAATCACCCATGGTCAGCCCAACTGGTTTTATGCCTAAGCTGGGACTAGAACTCGTGATTTCCCAGTTTCTACCCTGATTCCTAAATCACTGGCTCTCAATCATATATTGTGTTGTTTAACTATGCCTCTATAGTTATAAATTGAAATGTGGGGTTTTAGCTTAAATATTACCTTTTTAAGTTATGCTTATATTTTGTGATTTTAACTAACTGATTTTGAATGTTCACACATTTTGGAATGTTTGATACAAAAATTTAAAAATAGTGATTTATTTATTTTTTACTGAAGAGGTACATGCATTTAATATGGGTTTTTTTTCATTCCTAAAGAATGCAACTCTGCAGGCAGAGAAGCAAGCCCTGAAAACACAACTAAAGCAACTTGAAACACAGAATAATAATTTGCAAGCTCAGATAACAGCACTTCAAAAACAGACTGTTTCCTTACAGGAGCAAAATACAACCCTGCAAACTCAAAATGCGAAACTTCAGGTTCTGTTTTCATATATAAATATTTTCTCCATTCACAATGTACAGGTAGTCCTTGCTTACTGACCATTCATTCAGTGACCAAAGTTACAATGGTGCTGAAAAAAATAACCTTACAGCCTATTTGCAACCTCAGTCATGTGATTACTATTAAACTCAGTACATGTGTTGACCTATGGTTTCTTCTTTTTTTCTCCCCTTTCAGAACAGATTGATTTGAGAGAAATAAACTGCAAGTAAGCTGTTTGCTCTTTTACACATTGAAAGCAATGCAGTCACATCAGCAATGTGGGACTGGGAGCTGTGGGCATGCTATGCAAACGGATTACAGTACTCTTGAAATTTCTCTCCAATCTTTCTGGTATGCAGGGGGCATGTGCCTGCAGCTCCTAAACCCATGCTGCAGTGCCATCCCATTGCTTTCAATACATACAAGGCAATAAGTAGGCACTACAGCATTCCAAAGCATGGTTGGGAGACAAATGAAAGTTGAGGTGTGACTAATTTTGTCTCTTTACATCTGGAAAGCATAATCCTAACCACTTGATTTCCCACTTTGCAATTGTTTTGCTTTGTGGCAGAGTTGCAATCTCAATTAGAGACATTAAGCAAAGACTATTTGCACATTTAATCATTACAACCTTGCTTTTAACATGAGACATTTGATTGTATGTTTTTTCTGTAGTTATGCCAATGCAATTCTTTTTCCTTATTAATGATCTTGTCTGAATACAGAGTGGCTCTGCTCTTTGAAATCTGACTTTATACTTCCATTCCACAGGATATGACAAGCTCATACTGCTTTCAGACCCTATATATCACAGTCTTGTAATGGTTTGGTAGGGAATTAATCTAGGGTGTAAGATTCCAGGTGCTGTTAGGTATCTTCTCCCCATAACTTCCTAATTTTCTGCAAAATATCTACTTAACTTTTTAATGTCTGACAGCAGCAGGGAAGCTGCTACATTTACTGATAGTTTAAGTCCAGTTAAGCAGGCTTTTTCAATTATTTTGGAAATGCCTTCCTTTCCAAAGATCTTCCTATATGAGGAACATGTTTGGTCAGAATGGCTCTGTGGGCTGTGGAATATAAAATCCAGAAGTTCTGCAAATGATCTCCTGCGGTCCTTCTTCTGTCTTCAAGAATTCTTCCAACAGAGTAATTGGGGGAAATAAGCTTGTGGGGTTAAGAATGGAGAAGTCCAGTTGAGCAGACTTCTGCTATATTTGTTGACTTGGGCTTAACTTCCCCTCTATAAATCATTTCTGTAATGCAAACTAGATGCGCAAACTAATGCGAAATTGTTCTTTTGGCAAAATTCAGTCTTCTCAAATTTGGATCCATGCTAGCTGGATCTAGTAAGATTGATAGGCCAAAATAGCTGAAAGAAGATGGCAACGGAAAACATTTTTTTATACATTATACATTAGCTAATTACATGTTTTTTTCATTATAGGTGGAGAATTCAGCAATTAATTCCCAAAGCACATCACTTATGAACCAGAATGCACAGCTATTGATTCAACAATCAACCTTAGAAAATGAAAATGAATCCATAATAAAGGAACGGGAAGACTTGAGATCATTTTATGATTCTCTAATCAAAGATCATGAAAAATTGGAACAACTTCATGAGCGGCAAGCAACTGAATATGAATCTCTCATTTCTAAGCATGGAAACCTTAAATCTGTACATAAGAATCTTGAAGTAGAACATAAGGATTTAGAAGACAGGTAAATTACATTGTGCTAAATCTAGCTAAATTAGGAAAGCCATAGAATTGTTTACATAGATTTAGGAAATAAAACAGTTTAATAAAAAAGAATATACTTTCTTAATTATTTTTACAATTTTATATTTAAGAATAGTTCTTATAATTTTATATTCACTTGACAGATATAGTCAATTATTTCAGCAAAAAGTACAATTAGAGGAACTGGAAAAAGGCCTCAAAGTGGAGCAAGAAAAGATGCTTCAGCAAAACAAGAAACATGAAATGGTAGTAGTGGAATACAAAAAACTTTGTGAAGAAAATGATAGGTAAGAAAGCAATACTAATGAATTACAGGTAGTTCTTGAGTTATAACTGCAATTGGGACCAGATTTTCAGTTGTAAGTGATTGCAATCATAAGCTGGGATAGGCCTAATTTTACAACCTTTTTTATGGCGATTGTTAAGGCAATCACTGTGGTCATTAAGTGAACGCCGCTGTCATACGTGCAAGCCCATTATTCTGAAAGAACATTTCTTGTCAGAAACTTGTAAAAATGCCAGAAATCAGTAAGAAAAAGTTGCAAATCACAGTCACATGACCATAGGACACGGCAAGCAGTTATAAGCATGAGCTGTTTGCAAGGTATCTGAAACATGATCCCATGATTGGGGAATGGTGGCAAACATTCCACAATAGTCATAATTGCTTTACAAGCTGCTAAAGGCCTACTGTAATTTCAAACAGTTGTTAAGCAACTGGTTAACCAATAAGTAGAGGAGTACCTTATATTCTATGTCTATATTGTCTATATTGTATTATAGAGATTGAAATTGACCGTGATAACTGAAATACAGTGAAGTCTTTCAGTTGATGTAATTGCTTCCATTGGTAAAAGCAGTAGAAAGATAACTTTCCCTTGCCTTCAAATCAAGTTTATATATTAAAATCTGTTTTTGAAAATTTTAAAATCAGTGAAAGAGATTTTGAGGAATAAAGAGGAATGGGAGAGGAGAAAAAAACAGGACATTTCCATTAGTGTGGTATTAGATTGTACTTAGCACAGTGCAGAAGCATTGTTAAAACCTGAGCTATTCAATCCATTGCAATCCATCTATAATATATATTCATAGAAATTCATCTTTGATATGAGGAAAATATTGTATATATAGACAAAGGTTGTAGCATTGGTAACCATGCTTTATTTTTGTTCTTAAGAACAATACTACATGCATACCTCATAGGGTTATTTTATGAGGAAAATAGGAGGAAGTAATATTAGGTATTCTTGCTGCCTTGAATTGTTTATAAAAATTATAAATGTAAGATTAT